GTTGGCAGAGACGGTCACTTCTGCGTGGGAGCATGATAAGCGGAGAGAGCAGTCAGCGGCCGATCCTGTGCCATCCCGTAACAAACGTGCGCGCTTCGGTCACCTCGAGTCGGCTTCTAGGTCACCATCTGGCCGTGGCCCGCCCGTAGACCATGTGACCAACAGCGATCCACTTCGAAATTTTACCCGGTCATCCTAGCGTTGCGGTCAGACCAGATCGCCTGCCAGCCTTTCCTCTACGGTCGCAGGGCCCGCCGGCCCAACTACCCATCACAGATCTGTATCTCTCACCCCAATCCCCGGCAGGTAGCGTCACTCTCGCTCTCGCCCTCGCGACCGTCCCCCAATATCTCAGCACGTATGACCAGAAAATCGTCCAGGCTCAAGACGGTGATTTCACGCCACTGTCTGTAATGCCTCAGCAGGTCACAGACGAAACACGAGTGGCCTACCCCTACGCTCCTCATGTACAGGATAGCGATGGCTCCGTAGAATCTGCTGACAAGGCCATACTAATTGCACTGTCACGGTCACGTTCTTCCGTTCGACGGCGGTCTTCTGTCTCGGCCACAAGATCTGCTAACGGGATGGATGATACTCCGATCGAGATCGATCCAGCCATTCAAACACCCGCGACTCGTCCGGATCCGTCAAGACGTGATACTCGTACTTCATCAGCCGTCTCCCGGTCACCGCCCATCGCTGCGACACCTCCGACCACAGAGCCACCCAGGGCGTCCGACGAGTCCGATAGGTCGATGAGGGTACCAAGCTACGGTCATGCCCCAGTAAACAAGCTCTTATCTCCGAGAGCCTTCAAAGCTTTACCTCATGTGCGTTCCTCGCGCGATAAGTGGATACCTGGGTATCGCACTGGTGCAACTTATGCCCCTCGCCAGTTTTCGCCGTGGTCATCCATCGCTTGGGCTTGGTCACTGTAGGTCACCTGGACTTGGATCACTTGTTCCACCACTACTCCCGGCCCAATCACAATCTGTTCCATGTTCCACACGGTTCCCTGCGTCCGCCAACTGAAGCTCAGAGGTCCCCGCGGCTAGTGACCTCCGCCCAGATCGCTGCTTTATGCGAGCCAAAAACCTGGGACGTCTTGGATCGGCCTAATGCGCCTGTGTCATTCCGCCTCGACTGGCTGGTTTCAAGCTTTGATGATTGCGTATCGTGAGTTCGAAGACTATCATCGCCAGGCGTTATGGGAGTCTACTCATGTGCTCCCGATCATCGCCTGTCCAAGTCGCGCGAAAGACCATGGATTGAGCGTCTTCGATGAAGAAAGGCGTCGTCGGCGTTCCAGGTCCAGCCCCCCAGTGGAAGGCTGTACTCTGGATCGTGTAGGAGGGTTGATCGGGGTCAATTCTACTAGACATCCTGTTGGACCCCTTCTTCCTGCAATTCTTAGGACGGTTTGAGGAATGTTGGTGGTATCCAGGGTTTTGCTGTCGACCGACTAACATCCCTAATCTGGCCTCAGCCTTACTACTTGCGGATTCCGCTGACCCCTGGGGCAATCAATATCGGGCAGCCATTGCTGACCACCCAGGCTTGTCCATCGACCGTCTCCGGACCAAGTTTGTAGCGCAGTGAAAAGGTGTCTGCAGCATGGGAGACCATGACGTTTATGGTCACAGCCATGACCACCAGTCGCTGCTTATTAAAATCTCTTCTATAAAAGTCTGTTCACCATGTTTCCTTGATTCTGTGTACACCGCTTTGGTTGACCATGCAACTCCTTCACATCCAAAGCTTACGTAGTCATTTCTCATCCTTTCACAGGCCAGGCGGTCACAGTGTTTCTAGACCGCGGCCACCGTTTTTAATCATCTTAACTGTATGATCACCATGTTAGTTGACCACATCACTCCTTCACATTCATGGTTCACGTGGTCATCCCTCGTTCTCTTACATATTATACAGTCCCCATCCTTTAAGGCCGCGTTTACCGTCCATGGTCACCCTATCATCTGGATTCTTCCTCAGGTACTTGCATCACTTCAAAACGGTTTCGCCTAGCTCAATCACGTTCAAACTCTTGCAATAAAGCACCACAATTGAGGTTTGCCCCTCATCCACCCAAGTCTCATCCTTATGACCCTTCCATCAGACCAGGAACTGTCGGTGTACCCTTCCGTACCTTTCGTCCTGTTCTCACATCTTAAATACTATTCACCTCTTGTTCTCCTTCGGCTAGATCGTTTTCCCAGCTGCCTCTCCTGGAAGCAGAGCTTTGTCAAAATCAACACACTCTGCTTCTTCCACCTCCAGCCGCGCAGCAGGTTGATCAGGGAAATTTCGTTCTAGCCTCAGCTTGGATACGTGAACGAGTGGGAACAATCGGTATGGGGTCCTTGTATCTCCAACCGCACTGCATGTCCCCGCCTTTCTTCTCGATCACCCGAACGGGCCGTGCCACATGTGAGCTAGCTTCCCGGCATATCTCTCCTTCACTCGATCCAAATATAGCCACACTTGGCTACCGCGGCTGATTCCATTTGGCCCTTGATCAGCGTTGTATTGGTCAGCTCGGTCTCGAACAACGTCCTTAAGTCGGTCATTCACCGTAGCGCGGGCTCGTTGATATTGCCGCTGTATGTGATAGCACCATCTCCGGGGATCCCGATCACGTATATTAGTACATTCCAACGGCAAGGTCGCTTCCAGCGTTGATCGCAGATCCCAACCATGGATAAGATAGAACGGTGTATCACCCCGTACTCGGTCATGGGCCGTATTGGTGGCGAAGGTCAGGCGATCAGCGTATTCGTCCCAATCTTGTTGGTTCACATCCGTGACATACATTTTAGCGCCCTGGTCAATGTTTGGACCATACGTTCAGCTGTACCACTGGATCCAAGGCCGATACGCCCATTGTGGCACGTTGTTCCTGACTAGCGATGCGGTTGAACGCGCGCGAAAGAAATCCGACATGAATCCGGGTTCGCGGTCGTGACGAATAGATTCACTTGCCCCCAAAACGCCGGAAGACATATTCTTCATACCTTTCCGCGATCGTCTGGGCCGTCTTGACGAGCTAGATTTAGCGATCACGCAGCCAGAATATAAATCTACTTAAAGCAACAATTCAGTATTCCCTTTTAATGACCTGGGTAACAGGGGATATGATCCATTGCAATGATCTGGAACGGGTACGTGGCGTGTAAATTCCCGGGGATTCGCCTCGTAGGATCGGACATCCTTCCTGTAGTTTTGCAGTCGGCACACTTCCCCAATGCCTTGCACGCTTCTAAACAAGCCTCTCCAATGAAAGTGCGGTGCGCACGCGGTGATACGTTCGGCCATTCCCTTTATGACCACCTTCCAGACTTGCATGGTAGTAGTGTAGGACATCATCTTGCAGTAATTCCCGGAACCACCAGGCAAACGGACGAGATCCGCGCGGTCACTGGGGTTTTGCTGCTGCTCGTGGGTAAGAGGTAACTATCCACCTTCATCCACCATAATCCGAGGCAATAACCGCACTTTCTTTTGCTTCCGTAGTATCCAACTCCGGTCACGCCCGACTAAGTAAAGTTTGAGGTTGGTGATCCAACTTTTTTCATCTTGCGCTTGCTTTATGCGCTCCAGTCGTATCTGCTGTATTATTTCCTCTTGCATAATCGTGGGCACTTCACGCCTCCGTATGGATGATCGTGTGATCGCCGTTATCTTGGCCCATGATTGTTGGTCGCTGGTACTAATATCTCGTTCAGTCGGTTCATCGCGCTTGTAAATCATGACAAACCTGCTCCGTTAGTCTGACCATGCCTTTTTTTCCAGCTGTAAAGCGGAGCTACCAACTAGTATGTCGGCGCTTTGATTTCAATCATGTAAGAATTTATGAGTTGGCCATGATCGCAGTTGATCTAGGACCTTGAGACGCATCTTTTGAAGCAGTTAGGAGAGTCATTTTACCTTTATGCGCCAATATTAAGCTTTTGCCCGATTACCCCTCTGAGTCCTAGGAAATTCCAACAAGTGCCAAAGTCTGTGTGACCGCCATCTAGCGACTTCGCAACATAGGCAAGGTGCTCTGAAATTACACAAACGGATTGTCGATGGGCTGACGCGTCAGATCGACATTCGAAAGCCATCATTAGGCAGCCCCCTGAAAACTGCTGAGAAGAACTTATCATCCCAGTTCATGACAAGAAGAGCTACTTTAAAGCTTTACGTAGAGTACCAAATACGCACAATCTTGGCAGATTCAGAGCCGCCCAACGTTTTGAGCTTCAAAGCCGTTTGTGATCGATACCACCGAATCATGCGTACATTACGAATTTCTGACACGCTCGCTCACAGAGAATGGCTTGTTAAGATATAACTTCGAGGTGAAGTACAAGCCAGGTAAGCAAAATGCTTTGGCTGATGCGCTATCGCGTCGACCTGACTATGGGTTTGCTCATGTTACGACTCAGTCGTCATCAGTCACTGACTAAATACATGCGGAATAAGCCAAGGATGATCAGTGTGTAGCTTTGCTACGTGCTCTTGGGAGCGATAAGTTTAAAGACTCGGACATAGAATTGTCGGCACGTATACGTGCGAGGCTACATCGATATTCCATCGATAATGGCCTGTTGTGCTATCGCACGTACATTGAGGATAACCCTCGTATCACTGTACCTTATGATGAGGAATTAAAGTACCGAATCCTCTATGAGGCACATGATACTGCTTAAAGTGGTCATCTCGGTCGTGAGAAAACTTATAGCTCGGTGAGCCAAAGTTATTGGTGGCCCAAAGTTTTTAAGTGGGTGAGCACCTATGTGCGTACGTACGAAACGTGTCAACGGGTTAAACCCTCAGCACATGCGGCGGCGCCGCTGGCTAGTTTGCCAGTACCCACTGGTTGTTGGGAGTCCATGAGCATGAATTTTGTGTTTTTTCCTACCGAAAAATTTGGAAGGCAACACTGGTATTGTGGTCTTTGTTGACCGATTAAGCAAGATGGCTCACTTAGCGGCTGTGCCGGATAGCATTGATGCTGGAAGATACAGCAAAGCTGTTTATCTACCGTGTCTTTCTCCAACATGGCTTGCCTGCGGCAATTGTCTCTGATAGAGACCCCCGCTTCACTGGAAAGTTTTTGGAAGTCTATCTTGAAGGTGATGGGCACTCGGTTGGACATGTCCACAGCGGATCATCCGCAGACTGACGGTCAACTGAGCGTGTTAACCGCGTCATCCATGACATTTTGCGCAGTGTTTGCGCTGATAAGCCTATGCGTTGGAGCTCAATGCTCCCTGTTGTTGAATTAGCATTGAACAACGCTGTTCATGCCTCCACAGGCTTTACTCCGTTTTTACGTAAACGGTCTTACTCACCCTCGCGTTTCGTTAACGCTATCACTACGTGATTCAGGGGCTTGGTGGGGGGAGAGGTTGCCGATCGGCTTGATGATATCAGCCCTGCTGCTGTTCAAAAGCAGGGAGGCGAGTTTCTCGCTACGCGTTAAATGTCTTCAGACATGTGCGTGACGCAATGGCTGATAGCCACGATAATTAAAAACAACAAGCTGATGCCAAAGGCAGAAAATGTATTAAACATTATGAGGTCGGAGACCAAGTATTACTCAACGCTAAAAATCTATCTTCAAATGTAATGTCTGCTGTCTTTAAGACTAAGTTGCGTCCACGCTTTATTGGACCGTTTTTACGGTCACTATCAAGAAGGGACTTGCACATACGCTAAACCTTCCGCGTAAATTGCGCACACATCCAGTGCTCTACGTAGGCTTACTTAAGCCGTAACAGGATCCTTCCCATGTGAACATGGAGGCGCTTGCGCCGACGACAAGGGCATTGCCCCTGATTGCTGTAGACGAATCAGCAGGTACAACTGATCCTCGCTCCGCGTTTGAGCTTGCTCCATCGCTTGAAGGCGGCTTTGCATCGCATCCAGCATGTACTGGGTCTTACCCAATGTCTCTTGAAGACCCTTCACTTCGAGAGCCAATTTCTCGTGGGCCTCCACCGGTACACCGGCTGC